GGGAGAGTTAATATTAAGATTATAATACTTCCTAGACTGATTTATAGGTTCAATACAATCTCAATCACAATCCCAGTAAGAATTTTTTAAATATTGACAAACTGATTCCAGAATTCATATGGGAATATAAAGGATATAGAATAACTACATTTAAGCATACTTCATTTAAAAAGCATAACATTTAAAAAAAGATATATGGACTTCATCAACATTGAAAAGTTCCAGTCTACAAAATATATTCTAATAAAATTTTTAAAATGAGCCACAAATAGAGAAAAAGCCTTTCAAATAATATTTCTAGGAATCTCTCTGTATAGCCATCCTTATCTCAAACTAGCGAAAATGCTCGTCTTTCTTATTATTACTTATGTCTTCTTTTCAACAAAATTGGAGAAGAGGGCAGAACAAGTTCTGCCTGGAAGCGAGGGGGTAGAGGGGAGAGGGAGGGAGTCGGGGGTATGGGGGAGAAATGGCCCATACAATGTATGCACATATGAATAAATGAATATAAAAAATCAAATAATATTTCTGATAAAGGATTTATATCTAGAATATATCATAAACCCTCAAAACTCAATAATGAGTAAACAAACAAAATATTAAAAATTGGGAAATATTTGAACAAGACACCTGCAGGGAAAGATAGATATATAGATGGCAAATAAGTATATGAAAAGATGCTGAACATCATTAGTCACTAGAAAAATATAAGTTAAAACTACAATAATAATAATATACAATTATATACCTATTAGAATGGCGACATTTAAAAAAAATCTGACAATAACAAATGCACATGGGGAGGTAAAGGAACTGAACCTTTCAATGAATATTAGTAAGTAGGTTAATTTTTGCAGTCAATTTTGAAAACAGTTTAACAACTACTTATAAAGCTAAATTCAAGGGCTGAAGGTGTGGCTCAAGTGGTAGAACATTTGCCTAGCAAGTGCAAGGCTCTGAATCCCGGTACCACCAAAAGAAAAAAGAAAGTTAAACGCAAGAGAAATGAGCACCTATTTGTATACCTAACACTCTGTGCAAGTGTTCTTTTTATGCAATTGTTCTTATCAGGTTTGCCCATAATTTCTAAGAGTTTGAAAGAGCAGAAGTGTCTTTCAATGGATGAATGGATTAAGGGAAGTACATTCACACAATGGCATACTACCCTGAAAGGAAAAGGAACAAGCTATTGATAACATACACAACACAAATGAATTTCAGATGCGCTATGGCTACATACTCTGATTCCATTTAAATGGTCTTTAAAAGTTGAAATTATAGGAACAGATCAGTGGTTCCCAAGAGCTGGGATTAGCTGGAGAAGTTGGTTATATAGAGGCAGCATAAGGGATTTTTTTTTTTGAAGTAGTAGAACTATTCTATGTCTGGATTGTGATAGTGGGTTCATGACTATGCACATTTTTCTAATAGACCTGTACCCCCAAAAGACAGAATTTTACTATATGTAAATTTAAACATGAAAATTAATACTGGTTATGAAAGACAGTAATGCTGGGTGCTGGTGGCTCATGCTTGTAATCCTACCTGCTTGGGAGGCTGTTATCGAGAGGATCACAGTTCAAGACCAATCTAGTCAAAAACATTCTCAAGACTGCATCTCAACCAATACCTGGGTGCTGTGGTGGTGAGCACCTGTCATCCCAAACTACATGGAGGCTGAGATATGGAGGATCTTGGTTCCAGGCCAATTTGATGTCATCTCAACAGAAATATCTGGGTCTGTGGACATGTGCCTGTTATCTCAGCTACAGCAAGAAGCATAAAATAGGAGGATTGTGGTCCAGTCCCATCTGGGCAAAATATGAAACCTTATCTCCAAAATAACAAGAGTAAAAAGAACTGAAGTGTGGTTCAAACACTAGAGTACCTGGGTGAAGCTCTGAGTTCAAACCCCAGTACTACCAAAAAAAACCAGTGGTTCATATAGATATGTTGTCCAAAATAAAGATATATTAAGTGTTGTATTAAGATCAGTTCCACACTTTGTAAACAAAAAATCAATGGCTTATCTCCAAATTGAATTTTTATATTGAAAGGAATGTGTTATATTTTAATTAGTGATATTTTATGGACTCACCCCCTTTTTAAAGTCAAGTCAATGAAAGAATATGAATATATTTGAGGGCTCCTTACACATGATTTAACTAGATATGACATTATTAAAGCAGTGAGCTGGGTGTAAATATGGCATCAATTATTTTAAAGTATTGTTGTATCAGAATTTATCTGAAATAGACTTAGGTATCTGGAACCTCTAAGGAGACAGTCATTCCTACAAGCTGTATGCTTTAAATACTTCCACAGCAACAAATTTACTTATTCATTATTCTGTTTTCTTGAATAAAATATACTAAGCATAATTTATCTTCTCCCAATGTCTCAGAGTTCTCATTAAAACAATAAATTTTAAACCTGAGAGAGACTTGAGAAATTCCACACCTGAAATTGATCATCTCAAAATGATCATCTGAAAGGCGTGCTTATACTAAATATAAAAATATGTTATAACTGTTATATGCTTTACAATTTTAGATAAAGGAGCTCTCACCTTATCTTGTAAGAAATAGTCTTATTTTGCAGCTCAGACTGATAGGCAAGATAAGTCACATCACCCAGCATTTTACAGACTAGGAAATGGATGTTCAAGGAAATTCAGTATTTATCACATAATCAGCAGTGGAGTCAGTGTAGACCACAGGTTATCCTATTCCTATTGGCTGGCATGTACTAAGTGGATAGATGCGTAGAATATTAGACTAGGAAATCTTGAAGTAAGGCTAAATGACATGTTACTCCAGTATTTAGTGTCCTAATTCAGCTACCTTTCCCACTCCAGCCTTGTGAACCCTATTACCATGAAATCAAGGATGTGTCATTTTATCTTCCACATAAATTAGAACCCAACCCACAAATGAATATTCTTAAAACTCTCTGATTTTTTTACAAATGGGTAAGAATTTTGTCTGTGAGGTCATTTAATACCATAAACCAAGATAACTAAGGTGGATAGAGATAATGACATGTTATCTTGTTCAAATGAGGTTATCTAGTTGCTGTGGTAAAGAACGAATTTCATACAATTTGAAATAAAAATAGCTCTCTTGAACAAAGTGGCCTTTCTGCTATTAAATTTAAGTGAAAAACTAAAAAAAGTCTCCGCATTGCCTATTGTCAGAATTACACAGTAATTTTAGTACTCAGTGTGTTTGTTATCAATGGGTAAGGGTAACAATTGCAGTCAGCCAATAGGAAAATATTACTGTATTATTAGGGCAGGCATTGTCGTGTTTGGGAAATACCCATATCTTGCAGTCTAGGATTTTTCAGTATGACATTTCTGCAGCGGATGATCAGAATCACTGCCCCAATTAGGCCTTCATAATTTGAAGTTTATCACCATCCTCTGTACCCATTCCAAATTATCTTACTTCTAAATTCACACCAGATGAGGTATTTCTTGTATTTGACCTCCATCTTCTGGATCTCCTGATTGTGACTGAACCATTTAGTAAAAAGAACCTCAAATTTCTCTGAAAGCTGGCAGTCATTATAGCAAAAATTTCTTTGATGAATACTATGCCTTCTCGCTGGCCCAAACATTCTTGAATATTTGAACAGGTTGCAGATAAGATGTTTATACTTTCACATTCCACCTTCAGAACCCCCCTTTAGATAGTGGAGGTCTTTGCTTCTAAGTGTTTAAGGGAGAAACTGTACACTCATCTTTCCTGTGCCCTCTCTCACATCTGATTTTCTCAGATCTCTTAATATTAGTTAGGGAGGTGCTCATGAGAGCAAGCAAGAAAGTCAGGCACACAAATTGCAGTTTATGACTATAACACTCTTTAATTTCCTTATTAGATGGCTTTATTATTTAAAGTACTCAGAGGAAGGGAACTTTTTTTTTATTTCCATTTCAACATGCTTGGTGGTTTCAATACACTGCCAAAATTTCTCTTTGGTCTGGCATATGATTTTTTTTTAATGTTTTCCTAATTTTAAAGAGAAACTTTCCTTAGGAAAGGCTTTCTGTCTGTCAACTTTCAGGAATAACAATTTCAGTATGATAACTTTTAACAAGAATCCAAAATTTCCTTAATCAAGTCACAAGGATATTTTAGAAAAACACACTCCTATAATTCATCTTTTAAAATATAGTATGGCTTGCCTTTTATTTGTGAAATGTACAGTGTTCTTTATCCTTGATGTTAAGCACCTTATCTATTGGCAGGAAAATTGAATTGCTTTTTATTAACTTATCTTGTCTAATTATTATGGTATCAATTTAATTAGAAGGCACATAGTTTTTACATGGTTTATTTTTAGTAAAATGTACTGAATTTGAATTTGGATTAACATACTGTAGTTATTAAAATACTTAATTTGGTAATACTGCTTAAAGCAAACAAATTTTCACAGTCACTAAACCATTCTGTTTGGTTTTAAGCTTTAAAGAAAGGTTTTGTTTTAATGTATAAAAGTTACCCTTCTGTCCCAGAAAGAGAAAAAATAAAAGCATCCTTTTGCTCCAGAGCACAGCTTCTGATTATAACACTATGCCAGATGCTTTGCTTGACAAAGAACAGTGAGTGTCCCTGTTGATAACTGAACACCTATGGCTACCACCATCTCTGGCTTTACTAGCTATAAATATTTATTTCAGTGAAAGACCCTTTTCCTCCATGCACTGAGACGAACCAGATAAGAACTTTCCTTATTTTTTTGTTTTTGTTTTCATTTTTTTGTCTTTAAAGTTGGTACTTCTCTGAGCAAATTCAGTATGTGTACTACATACATTTTTTCAGTGAGGAGATATCTCCCTTTAGCACACAAATTACTGCCCGTTATTGGGGATTAATTCATGTAAGGAAATCTTGCAGCTCAGAAGTACCGAAATTGTATTGAAAAACGAAAGTGTACAAATTCTACACATACCAAATTTTTATTCCAATATTCAGAGTATCTTCTTTTATTTTTAGATGAATCTACGGTCTGTATTTACTGTAGAACAACAAAGGATTTTACAGCGTTATTATGAAAATGGAATGACAAATCAAAGTAAAAATTGCTTTCAGCTCATATTACAGTGTGCACAGGAGACTAAGCTGGACTTCAGTGTAGTCAGGGTAAGTATTGAGGTCTAACACTTGAATTTATAACTTTTTATTACAAGTGATATTTGCTTAATGTAAGAAAAACTATTCAGGGCATGAAGTCCTAACTTTATACACAGCTTCATTTCCCTGGCATAAAAATACTATTTTTAATAAATGAGATAACCATTTGGTATATATTTGTTCCTATACATACCTTGAAACACTAAAATGTGAACATTTTTTTTTCCTGTCTCTTGGACTAATAAATACCATTAAGATTAGTTCTTGAGCTTATGCTTTCTTTAAGACCCCAATTAATAATCTAGATATTACCTCCACAAATGCTAATAAAACAGGTATTTCCTGGGGGAACTCTATGTAACTAGATTTTTTGTTGTTGCTTTAGAATTTTTCCTGAACCATTTGCTATTTTAGATTTTTTTTTTTGTCTTTTCAGGAAAACCTAAACTGTAGTTTGTTTTATGAATATTTTTTCCCTCCAAGTAAAATGTATGCATTTTAATGGTTAGCAAGTAAGGGACAAGAAATCCCAAGGGAGGAAATTATCACAACCGCAGTTATTCAGTTGTAAAAACAAAAAAATCGAAGCTGCTACATATTTGTGATAGGCAATGAGAAAGTGATAGAGAGGAGGTAAGAGAAAAATCTAACAGAACTTGTCATGGATTTAGGTCCTTCTGTATTTGTTTAAACATGCTACAAATCCTTTTGGTATGCACCTTTAGTGATTCAAAGATTAGCGACATTCACATCCTTGGCATTTATTAGGCAGATTTGGGAAAGAGAAAAGACGTCTTTTTGAGTTTATTTTGCTGTTTTATGTACCTTCAAAGAACCTAGAGATAAAATTCTTTGATAAGCAGAATTCTTTGGGAAATATTTCTTAAAGATTAAATAATATATTCACCTTCAAATGGGAAAGTTTGCCACCAATTCTGGAGGAAAATATCCAGGATCTCTGTCTCTTATTTGCTGAGACGTAAGAGGCGCTCAAGTTGGTTTTGCTGAAAAGCACTGATTCCTTACATGAGTGCACAAATTAATTAAAAACAGGAAAAACAACATCTCTGTCTCCATTTTGTATCTGTCTTTGCTCTAAGACATTTTCTTTACAGTCACTTTACAATCACCTTGCATTCCAAAAAGAACAAAACTGATATCTTTATGACAATGAACTGGAGCTGCCACCCTCCCAGTGACCCAACATATTCATATTTATGTAAGAACTAGAAGTGTCTCTTATTGATAATTTTAAGTGCACTACTTGAAATTACATTTACTAAACTTCAGAGAAAAATGTTTAATTGCCTTAGAAAAGTAATATAGAATATTTCAAATTGATGAGATTGAATTTTATAAATGTAAACTTTTTTCTACTGTTATTTTCCTATTCCCCCTTTTCTCTTATCATTGCCTTCAAGTGAAAAGCCTTCCCAAACAGCTGCATTGTAGACTATCTTTCATATTTCCAATTTGCTATTTTAGTTATTTATAATTCTTTCCCTCATAACTTATTTGATTGTGCTTGAATACTAAGATTTTTGATAAGTAGGTATTTATACTCCAAATAATATGAAAATCTAAAACAAACAATGTGAATGACAGGTATACATTTTTAGAATGTAGGATTGCAAGTATATTGTTGTACAATAAATTATAAAGAATTGTATAGAACAGATTTACTCTCTCCAAACCAGGAAAGTATAAATTATTCAGAAATTCAGCCTTCCTAATCTAAATCCCAGTGCAACTTTGATTGCTTTTGCATTCAGAGGAAAAGGGAGTTGTTGGAGGATTTACCTCTCCACAGGCCCTCCTCCATATTTTGCATAAGATTATGTGTTCTACTTGAAAGAGACCTTTCTTTTTTATTTTAATATAGTACTGTGTTTTTACTCAGAAGAACTCAAGTCCCACTGCATTAAGCATTTTATCCCAATATAAAGACAATTTAAAAACTTAAAACATCTAAGCAAAACATAAATATAATAAGATAAAGGAATAAGAAAAGAAAGAATGAGGTATAGAAAAAGGAAAAAAAGATTTAGACAGTGAGTTTCTAAAAGAGAGCTAAGAGAGAATTTTATACAGACCAAGTATTAGTGACTCAAGAATCATTCCTTTCTTTTTTTTTTTTTCTATGTAGTATGGCTTTCCTACTTCCTCACTCCAAATTCTCATATCTATCTTGTTTGACATGTTTTAACTCCTCACTAATGAGGCATTTAACGTGGAAAATATTTACATCTGATAAACTTTGGTAAATTTGGGGTCTTAAAACTAAAAAACTTCTGGTAAAGTTAATTAAATTATTGGGTACCTTCAAGCAATGAATTTCCTTTATATTCAGCACTTGAAGTGGGACTATTTCTTAAATTTATACTTTTGTACTTTTCTTGACTAGAGAACAGAGCAAATAATTGAGTTTTTTGACTCAGGGCTTTCATTACAGAAACCAGTCGTGTTACTGTGCTATAAAATGATAATGCTTACAACTTGATAAGGTATATGAAGCTATTTTACCCTTTATTAAAGAAACTCAGACTGCTATTTAGTGATTTCTTACATTGATTTTATGTCTTTCCTTTTTAATGGCAATTAATGGCAATGTTTATTGAATATTTTTAGTGTGAGTGCTGTCAGGGTGTTAACCATCAGGGACCTCTGCAATGCCCCTCCTATTTTGTTGTTTCAAATTTGTTTTAGAATAGCATACCAGCATTCACCAAATTATAAAATCAGAGAAAGTGGGTATTAAGGTCAGGAGTTGTCTTATTAGTGAGGCACATTAAATCTTGTAACATCTGTGCTAGCTGTGTTCTGGACAAGAGGTTGCTAGATTGCTAGATAGCTGAATTTCAAGTGTACATATTATTCTATTGCATTATACTTTTCAATGAATACATAATGTAAATATCTAGTAAATAATATAGACAGCTATACATAATATACATCAATATGTTTAAACTATAAAACTATACAAATAAATCATAAATTTGCAATGAGCTTAGATCACTCTTAAAATTCCTAAGTTAAGGTAGGTAATATGTGATGAGAACATACTATGTTGTGGATTTATTTTTTGAAATGTGGCCTAGACCTTTCCTCTAGATTTAATAGTTCTTGAATTCAAATTTACCAATTCACTATGCTTTCCCATTAATATTTTTATATAATGCTTATATACTTTTGTAAAAATTATGTGCAAACATATTTCCCATGTTCTTTTTACTTGAAAAGCTAAACCTGGAAACTTATTTTGAAAATTAATAAATTTCACCTTTTGGAAAGTTATAGTTATCTAAAGACATTCATTTAAAATATTTCTCTTCAGTAAATACATTAGAACCTTTTAGTTTTTCTCCTTTATCTCCTGTGACATTTATATTTACATATCCTTTGGCTTGTAGCTCTCAATCCTGCTGTTTCATGAAAGAAATCAGAATGAGTTTAAAATTCTTCTACATCACATGAAACAAAAGGGAGCATCACAGTTTCTGGAATATTTCCTTTGTGGGACAAGTGATTATTACAGTAAAACAACAATAAAGATGACTAGTTCAGGAGTTACTAGCCACTACCTGCAAGATACTGGAAGAGGAATGTGTTTTAAAGTTAACTAGGATTGACTTTGACTCTGTTCTGTAACTTGTAGGCAGGATATCCTTCCCCAAGGTACTTATTATTTATGAACCTCAGTTTCTTTATGTATAAAATTAGAAAAATAGCACTTATCAAAGATGTTAATAAATATGTAAAGAATACACAAGGAGAGATTCAACTCATGTTAGCTTTTATTTACATTAGTACACCAACATTAATGTTATATGTAATTATACATTGCATAAATTAACATTGAAAATTAAATAATGTTAAATTAAAATTAAATGTGGTTTTCAAAAACACATCAAGAAAATTTACACAGACATATCTTGCACAACATTTATACTAGATTAGTTCATTTAAATTTTTATTCATTTATTTTGCTTAATCTTAATAGATTAATGTTTTCTGGATGTTTGTCATACAATATGCATTTTCGAATAATTATAAGCTTTAGTAATCATATTATGGAATGCAATATTTCTTATTGCATACTTAAAGAAGAACCATGATTCAGTGCAATAATTTTAAGATAATTATAAATATTACTTACATAAAAGTATGTATTTTATAATCAAATCCTAAATGTCAACCACTGGTATTATTCTTATTAATAACTTTTTTCTGTTTAGAGGAGTAATACATATTCATTGTATAAAATTTGGTAAGCAGACAAGAATATGAAGAAGAAAATAACTACCATAAATTAATGACAAACCAAAAATATCACATAGAGTTGTAAAGCATTACTATTTTTAGTAGAATATTGCTCCTATAAATAAGTTTAAACAAGCAAACATGCCAATATTAATATAGGTAAAGGTAATAGTGAGCATTCTATCAATTTAGTATAATAACCATTCAGACCAATCAAAACTGCATTTATCTTTTATAAACTCCTGGATTATTAAAGACTACAAAAAACTGCAAATTCTTGGTGGGGCTGTGGGAAAACCAGAACTCTTTTTTTTAAAAGTACTTGGACAATATCAGACTTTGGCAATTTCCCTTCTCGTATTGCATTCTAATTAATCAACATCACAAAGATGCTTGTAAAATGAGGTGTATTACAATATAGTTAGTATTTATGAATATCTCTAAAAATTAATGTTTATGATATATATACACAAAAGAAATCATTAAGCCTGAAGATTATAAATGTATATTTATCTAATAATATGATGAGCATTTTCTAATGACATTAAAGACCCTACCTTTAGGATCCTTTCAACTTTTTAATATTATAAATAAACACAGTGAACATCATTACACATAAACTTTGTCTATATCAATGACCACATTTTAGGCTAATATCCTAGAAATTTACTTACTAGGTCAAAGGATATAAGAATTTGTGGAATTCTTGGCACATATTAATTACATGGGCTTTGTGGTAGAGAGGAGCAATAATACTCTGTGTTCTCAATGTTCCTAAGTCCTTAATCATTTTTGCTCTTATACTTTAGTTAATTTTCCATACTGTACCTTTTTTCTTTTACCTTTGTATAGGCCTTGGTTCCATAACAAAGAATATAATTTATCATTTAAAAATCATTTTGTCTTTTTTTATTTTTTTTTCATAATAACACTATTTTTTATCCTTTCAGACGTGGGTTGGCAATAAGCGAAGAAAAATGAGTAGTAAGAATTCTGAATCAGGAACAACAACTGGAACTGTTTCTGGTACCTCTTTGGCAGCTCCAGATATTACAGTCAGAAATGTGGTTAATATTGCTCGACCCTCAAGCCAACAATCTTCTTGGACTTCTACCAATAATGATGTCATTGTAACTGGCATATACAGTCCAGCCAGTTCATCAAATAGGCAAGGGACAACCAAGCATACAAATACACAACTTACAGAAGCAAATAAAATTCCCATTCAGAAAGCAGCCAGTAAAAACGATAATGAGTTTCAGTTGCACATTCCTGTTCAAAGACAAGTAGCACACTGTAAAAATGCCTCCCTGCTCCTAGGTGAAAAAACCATTATATTGTCAAGACAGACAAGCGTGTTAAATGCTGGAAACTCAGTATACAATCACACAAAGAAAAACTATGGAAGCTCTTCAGTTCAAGCTTCTGTAATGACAGTACCTCAAAAGCCATCTTTGTGCCACCGACCTTGCAAAATTGAGCCAGTTGGGATTCAAAGGTCATATAAACCTGAACATACAGGTTTGGCATCACATAACTTATGTGGGCAAAAGTCAAGTATTAGAGACCCTTACTGTAGAACACAAAACTTGGAAATTCGTGAAGTGTTTTCATTGGCAGTCAGTGATTATCCCCAGAGAATTCTGGGAGGAAATGCCACACACAAGCCTAGCTCAGCAGAAGGAACTTGTTTGTCCATTGCAATGGAGACTGGAGATGCTGAGGATGAATATGCCAGAGAAGAAGAGCTGGCATCAATGGGATCACAAATACCAAACTATTCAAGATTTTATGAAAGTGGCAGTTCCCTTCGAACTGAGAACCAAAGTACAACTTTGCCCAGACTAGGAAGAAATATGCCAAATTCACAAGTAGTGAATGTTAACGATTTGTCAGATAATGTACTGTATCAAAACAGAGACTACCATTTGACACCACGGACCTCATTACATACAGCATCTACTACAATGTACAGTAATGCAAATCCTTCAAGGAGTAATTTTTCTCCACATTTTGCATCATCAAACCAAGTGAGGTTATCACAAAACCAAAACAATTACCAGGTAATATGTAAACTTATTTTATAAAAAAAATTTTTTAAAGCTATGTTTGGTTTAAAAAACTTTATCCACTTAGACTTAGTACCTGTATCACTTAAATAATATTTTGAAGTAATTTAAGATTTTTTTCCTTTGAAGTGCTGGTTTGGGGTCAACTTCTTCAAGAATCCTGTGTTTTCTTTGTTATGTTTAAAAATAATGAGTTTTTAAAAATGGAATATAGTCATTTTTATAACATGGTAGCCTTCTCCTGACATTTAGAATGGTTTTGTTCAAGAAATGGTAGCTTTATGGGAAGCATGGCACTTCCTGTTAGGAAAAATGCTGATCACAAAGAAAGCTCACAAGAAAAGTCTCACATCCAAGAGCAAGGTTTAATGGCAGGCTCAAACCGCCAGGCTGGCCGGGGAAAGATGGTGCAGCACAGACTCTGGGCCAGGCGTGGTTTTTATAGAAGAGGGAGGTTAAGGAAGTTAGTGCATGCATGGGAGTCTCCGGTAGAGGCAGAGCTGTTATTGGAAGTGGCTCCATTTCTCAAGTGAGGCCTGAGGATAAAATGGCTGCCGATTTACAAATGGCAACATTATTGTTCTATCATTCCCCCATTTTTTCTTTAATACTGATGAAGGTAGAGGCTGAGGATCAGAAATTGGGGCAAAGCATTGGCCTCTTAGCTGCTTCTTGCTGGCAGGGGCTGCTATATAGGGCAAGATCCTCAGACTCCTGAGTTCTGGTGGGGACCCTTGTAGCAGTCCTCTGGACAGATTTGGAAAGGTTGATATCACTGCAGGTACAACTGTTTAAACTTTTGATTAGCAATAGTAGACATGCAGTATGATACAAGGGAGGAAGCTTAAGAATAGGAGAGCAAGAACACAGGCATTAGGATGGGCATTTGCCAGGAGAACCACTGTGAAATGTTGTTCCCTAGAGGATTCCAAGTGTCCTACAACTCCCTTCTTGGTTTTTCTAACTGTTCCTTGAGAGGTGCCACCACTAGGGGATCCCATTGAGCTTGACAGCAGTGGGTGTTGTGAGAATGACCAGATGAGGGCTGGTCCACCGAAGTCCCAATGGAGAGGGTAGAAGATGCTTTAGGAGAACAAGATCCCCTGGTTTAACAGAAATTGTTGGAGGGTGGGGCAGTATACGGTCTGCATGCTCTCTGAGAAGTTCCCTGAGAAGGTTAAGATAAAGTAGATAGTCAGCCAGAGGAGCAGGGTCTGTTGGAGGCAAGTTTATTAGCAGGAACATAAAAGGTGTCTGCTAAGGGACTGTACATCTAGGGATACAGATTCTGCAAAATCCTGTAACTCTCAAGAAAGCTCTAAGCTGCTTTATGGAATGGGGGAGTGGGAAACAGAGGATTGGGTTGATTCACTCATGACTCAGGGAGTGAGTCTGTCCCTTTAAGGCCACACCTAGGTAGGTGACCTGTGGGAGGCAGGGGCTGTCAGGATTTAAATGTAACACTCTTGGATAAAAGAGAGCTCTAGCTCATTTTTAATATAATTTGGTAAATGTTTGTACAATATTTAGATAAAGTATAGACACAACACTGTTACAAGGTGGTCATTTAAGACACATAAGCAAATGTGTAAATGAACTCTGATTTAGTAGTATTTAAAGCTTGACAAGATCAGCAGAAAACATGAATATTTTCTTTGATAAAATCTTTCTCTATAATGGTTTTTTGTAGATGTTACTCAGAGCAGAACAATATTAAGATAACCTTGTTATTTTATAAACATAGAGAATTTGATTTTAGTTTGACATGGCCCTAAAAATCTTTTAGGCAACTCTTAGATTATACTCGACTTTTACTTTATTATACACCAAAGCTTTTTATTATATACTTTTAAAACTTACTCAGACCTTTATATAACATACTAAAGCCTTTGATGGTTTGTCCTTATCCCTCCTATTTGAAACAATCTTTAGGACAAACACTTCCTTACAAAATCCTTTCTCATCCAAAAACATTCCTTTTTCCTTTAACTTCTCAAAAAATACGTTCACTACCTATCCATATCCTTTCAAGTTGTTTACTTTGTAACTTGCATTCCAAAGTTAACTCCTATAAGAATTCTAAACTTATTATAGGGGCTGGAGCAACTAATTAGTAGCCCTTGTTGTAAACTGTGAGGGATTTTTGAGTTTTATTTGAATATGAAGGGCCAGTCTGGCTCACCCTACACTCATCTCATCAGTCCACACTGTGGAATCTATTTGTTCCTGAAGGAGGGGCAGAGCAAGAAATAGTTGCCTGGAGGGAGGAGAATTTGAGCTTTCAGTTGAGATAGTAAATTCCATCCCAGCAGAGGCACTGGAGTTTCAGGAGCTGTAAGGAAAGAATGACAGAAGAGGAGGTCTCCCAAAGAGCAGGCCAGAGGCCGGGTAAACTAGTGCTCTAGGGGCTGGCCAGATTTGCCCCAAATGATAACTTTTGTCATTGGACCAGGGACCTGGAGAGAAAGGTGAAACAGAGAAATGAGCTCCACTGTCTACTGGAAAATGATCTTTTGTTTTTCTGCCATAATGGCTACTCTGAGGCTCCTCAACATTGATGCCAAGAAGTGGAGTGTGGCCGGGACCCATCAACCCTTAAAAGGTAGCACCTCACCTTCCATATGGAGGCAGCGGCACTTAGACCTCCAGTGGTTACCTTTGCAGAGAGGGCAGGGTCCTGGTTGGGGGCGGGGATAACTCCCAGGCTGTCCCCCTTAAGCATTCTCTGCAGAAATGCCCCTCCTGTCCAGCCATGGTAGCAAGTTCAGGATACAGGCCCAGTCAGGTGGGGGCAGCAATGAGGTCATGATGTCTCTTATCTTTCTCTCTGGTAGTAATGTCCTGGTTATAGTATAAGCAGTTGATCAATAACTTTTCCTCTTCAGCCACAGACTGAGTTTTCTACAAATGTCTGGGGCTGACTGTTTAGAAATTTATCTTTGAGGAGAACCTCTTCACCTGTGGACTCTGGGTCCACCGTGGTATGCTTTCTGATAGCGTCCTCAAGATGCTACAGAAAGGTAAGGGGATTTTCTTCAGGACATTGCCTGTATCTAAAAATAGTATTAAATTACTGCTTCACATGTTCAGTTGTTCAGATATGCTTCAAACAATCTCTTCAATGAGGTTATAGCCTACATGAAACATCTCTTCAGGCATAGATCTTCCCTCTGAAATATCTGCTTTAGAGAAATCAAATAACAGGGCATGGATATTATCATTTTTCCTTATTACAGGCTAGATTTTCTTGTCTGTTCATGGCAATGCTTAGTGCTATTAGGTTTAAGATGCTTCCAAGCTTTCAGCCAATTTAAGACATTTTGCATGTGAATCAGTTGAAAAGAAGAATTAGCCCCTTTTACTAAACAATACACAATCTCCACAAACTGTTTTGTTTTTGTTTTTAAAAAGAACAGTCTTGTCCTGACTCTCCATTCTTACAGCTTCCTGCTTCACAATGAAAGCAGTAATGTAGCATAGGAAAGTACTTCTCTGTAACCTGGCACAGCCAGAGGTGAACACAGTGTGTCTATGTTGCTCTTTACTAAAAAGCATGCTTACAGTAACATTGGCTTACACCAAGTAATATTCTCCCCAACTTCCCCCCTTTCATTCATCTAAGCTTTTATACTTCTTTATCCCTTTTGTGTTTTTTTAATAATAGTTATAACAATAACATCTACAATTTGAATGAAAACCCACAAGTGCCAGACACCAATTATATTTTATATATACTATACATTTATCTTCACTATATCAGGACACGATAAGTATTTTTCTTAAACTCTGTTTCTGTTTTTGTTTCTTAGACAGGCATTTTTATTTTTATCCTTATTTGAATTTTTTATCTAAGATCACATAGCTAATAAGTGATGAAAATAAGCTTCCAGCTCAGGAAGCTATTATTCATTCAGTACTGTTTATGCTTTTTTGATGTAGCATAACCATTTTAACTTTGTGGAATTACTGAAAGGTCCACGAAAGTAGTTTTATTTTTAATTTTTTCTAAGGCCTACCACACCCTTACAGATAATTTCACATGGAGTTTTACCTTTTTTTAGTCTCTCTATTTTTTAAGGCACCATTTTTACAAAATATTTTGAATATAATAAAATTTAGCAGCTGTTTTTTGAATAGTAATCCTCTTAAAATAAAGATGGCGTGGCATAATCATTTAGAGCATGGACTTAGAGCTTGAAAAGACTTGTATTCAAATTTAGGCTCTGCCACTTTATACTTGTATGGCCTCATGAAAATGATTTTAACCTCTCTATGTTATAGTTTCTCTTTTATGTTTATATGGCTAATAACATCAACTTCACAGGAACACTGCAACATGAAATGATACACTCTGTGCAAGCTCCTTGTAGCCATCGACCTGGCATACAAATTTTGTCATGCAACAGGTGGTACAGAGCTGTAACCAGTATCGGATGCTGAGGCAGTTGAGGCTTAGCATGGGCTACACAATGAGATCCTATCTCAAAAACATAAATGAGTAATTAAATAAATAAAAATACTCATATGAACCCACATTGGAAAGCTAGTGAACTCTCCTACGTAGATCTACTTTACATTCATTTCAGCAAAATATGTAGATCCAATTTTCAACAGGATAATGAAGAAATGCCATTCAGTTACTGGCTGAGAGAAGACTGAATGGTCAGCAATTGCTATCCCTAGTATAACCATTAAAAAGCCTATGCATTCCTAGTTATATATACCAGACCTCCTCAAGCCAACTGACCTGTGACAGTGTAGTGGAGAGTGTTTTCACAGAACCCTTGGGGCATCACTTTGCCCAGTTATTCTTTCATTAGTTGAGGAACCCTGACAGCCTGATGACTATGATCCACGGAGGTTACCTCCAAGGTTCTAATGAGACCTCTTTGTACCAACCTTCTGGATAAGAACAAAATAGAACATTTATCATGTTGGCAACTTTCTAACTATGCACATATAAACAAGCAAGAAGTTCTTTGAAATTTCTGTCT